GGCAGCCGGGCGGGGGCGTAGCAACACAACAACGGCTGACGAAGACCGACGGAGCGACAATGAAAGCACAGACTTGATCACGTTACACGTCTGCGGTCCAATTCGGAGGAAGAATAATTGTCCCTTCTGAATGCGGAAATCTAAGAGAGTTTTGGAATACAGCCGCTGCTTCTTCAGGTTGAGAAGTCACAGCTGCGATAGTTTTGGCTCAGATTGCGAATGCCTCCAGAAAAAGAAAGCGAAGTGACTACTACTTACTCAGCCAACTGGCAGGAGACCCTGAGGATAGCCAAAATTACCCCGGGGCAAATGTGTGGAAAAAATCTGCTCTAGACTTTGGGTGTCCAGAGTTGGCCGAAGCTCCGACTCTGGCATAGAATGGCGAATAGTTAGAAGCAGTGAGGCGTCTGCCTCCGATACTCGAAGGGAGAAGCGGTCATGGAAGATGGTGACAGAAAACATGTCTCGTTGAACAAATGATGCCTAGTATATAGAGTGAAAATTGCAATTTATGTCTTTTGGAGTTCACAAGGTTTCCTATGGCATATTACCTCGTTGATCGAAGTATATACGGCATAATGAAAGAATTTCACAAAACATTCTTTAGGGAAGAATCTGCCAGACTTCTTTAAATTTTTCCCACCAGCTGGTGAGTATTAGAAGCTCTCCACTAGTCATACTTTTGTTCATTTAGTCATACGTTTTGAGGAACACGTAAAGCCAGCAATGCCACCATAAGGCGCTGACCATACGCTAAATTGTTATACTTCGATCCATTTTTGCTTTTCGCTAAAGGAGCGCCACAAAAGTGGTGTTATGGAAAGATTAAGCTATTATGCCAAAACATGATATAAACACTTTGCCGAAGTTCTGCAGAATATGTAAGTTCTTGAACCTCAGCAGAGAATGTTTGAACACGAGATGTACTATAGAGAATGCCTGCGAAAAAGCATGTGATCTCAAATTCTGCTTTAGTGCGCATAAGGCCTTCTTTCTCTTCTGTTTCAATAATTTTTAACTTGATATTTTTCCTCTAGTTCTTTTCCATTTCTTTAACCTCTAGCCAAATCGCGAATCTGGTACCGTCTAGGCTCGTGTTCCAGAATGCTTTGGGGGGGGGAAGGGGCAGACAGGACGAGGGCAATAACAGAAACTTTATTCTATCTCACAGAAGATTCGCAACCTTAGTCGTCCTTAGTCCAGATTTAATGTTTTCATGCATCTGGATCCCAATTCAAACTGTTTGAGTAATAA